GCGTTAAGAGAAGTCGTACTCGAGTGAGTAGCTGTGATTCGGTCTAGTCTGCCATTCGCATTAGTTAAAATTTTTTTTTGCCTTCGTTTAAGGCGACGTTCTGCATCACTCAAAGAGCGACTTTTTTTAGCATTAGTTGTTGACTCATCAGACATTGTGTTTGAATATGAAAACTACACAAAGTTGAAATTGATCGGGAATTGAAAAAAATTTTTCAACTAAATTGTACAACATGCGTTGTCGTTTTGGCACCTGAAAAATCAATGAACTTAACCATAAACGGTAATTATGTATTATCTATTCTAGGTACTATATGCAGTGTGTGAAATTCAATTTTGATTTTATGTTCTCACTGAGAACATTTTTCTAGTCCTCAATGTTCTCAAAAATTTTTTAATGTTCTCAATATAGAAAATTTAAATTTGTATAATATCAAAAAAATCTATTTAATGTTCTCACATAGAGAACATATTTTAATGAATTATGTTCTTAAAATTTTATTAGTGTTCTCGGAGAACATTGAGAACATTGAATTTCACACACTGACTGTATGTATAGATTTAGTAAAATATTCTGCGGTAGTACAGATTTGGATGCTCATCAAGTTTTTTTTTGAATTCCTCAATTCTGAACACATTAAAATAATTTTGAACACATTAAAATGAAAATGAATCTATATAATATGACAATCATTTTTTTCAAATAAATAATTACTTGGAAGTGCCTCCAATATACATATAAATCGACAAGAGTTTCTAGTATTATTGACTTTTTATCTTTATTTTTTTAAAGAACATGTTACAATCATGATGTTTTTGCTTTCCTTTTTTAAAAGCTTTATTTTCTCATTAAAATTAATGCTAAATTAGAACCTTAATTTATTAATAGTAAATATATAGTTTTTAGGAAATACCAAAATATGCAACTAATTCAATTTACTGGCTTAATTTGCTTTTGCTATACGTAGTAAATTGTTAATAAATTAAACAAGCTATTACAAGTTAATAGCTACGGACGGATTCTAACGTACGTATCAATAATATTCAATACTAAATATTACTAAATAAAGATATTATTTCCTGCATAAAAATAAGACATCAAGCAAAGTCCGAAGGAGGGCGCCATTGGTATTTCTGTCTATTTCAAGGTATTTATATGTTGATCCTATAATATTCTAAATATTTTCGTACCAGCTGCATGTCTTTATATGTAAACTTTTGTTTTGCATTAATACATAAATTTTTTTCTTGGATTTTTGAAGTTAAAACTTATAGTAAGACCAACTAACCATTTTTTTAATTATTTTTTTTAATTTTTTTTTTTTAAGTGAAGACTTGCTTCAAATGTTTTATTGATTGTATATATTATATTATATTTATTGTATTACATGATCGTATATATTTTCAGAGTT